TCCCTCCCCGGCAAGGCCTGTGGGAGCCAGGGGGTGGCTGGGAGAGTCGTGTGTGTGTGTGTGTGTGTGTGTGTGTGTGTGTGTGTGTGTGTGTGTGTTGGGTTGCTGGTCAAGTTTCTTCAGGGTTTAAAATCACAGTTCTCTCTTTCCAGGCCCGACCACTTGAACGGACATATCAAGCAGGTGCACACCTCTGAGCGGCCTCACAAGTGTCAGGTAGGGGCCGGGCCGGGCAGAGATGGGCTAAAGGAGGAGCTGCTTGCTGTCCTCAAGGCCCTTGGGCACACGCAGGGCCAGCTGGTTGACCCCTGCTTTGCACACCTCCCGCTCTGTCCCTGTGTTGGCGCTTGTCCTTTGTTCTCCCCCACCCCACCCCCAGCCCCTCCACCCCCATGTTTCCTGGTTACTTGATCTTGGTTCCCACCCCGTCTTCTCTCTGTTGCTTAGTTTTCCGATGCTGGTGCTTGCTGGCTCCGTGGCTGGCACCCTACACATGCCCCGATGGCACTGGCTCCCAGCACCCCACAGGGACCCACCTTGGGAGGGGAAGGTTTGCTTAGGGCTCCTGGCAGGCTAGTGTTGTCGGTGTCTTTGTCAGCTGGGCAGGCTGTCCTGTGTCGACGGAGGGCTGGGTTCTCTTCGCTTGGGCACACAGAGTGGCATAGGGAGTGGGTGGGCCCACTTGAGCCCCGGCACCTGTCTAAACCATCCTTAGCTGTGTGTGTAGCCAGGGTTTCTGGTGGTCTCCTTCTTGCCAGACCTCTGCTTGAACCGTTTCCCGAGGCCCTGCTGGTGCCCGATGGGTGGGAAACAGGCCTCTGTCTTTGTGGTTTTCTCGCCTCTCCTGTGCCAGGTTCCTCACGGAGACTTGTTAGGAGGGAGGGTAGAGTCCCAGGGCCCAATGAACAACAGTGTTCCAAGTGCCAGGCCAGGTGGCCTCCCTGGAGGAAGAGGAGAGGACCCAGGGGGTGGGCCTGCCCGGATCTGTTTGCGCCTCACTGCTGTCTCTCTCCGGTTCTCCCGTCTCGGAGCACGTTTGGACGCTCCCGGGTAGTGCAGTGTGCTGAGCAGCTAGGCAGCTAAGAGGAGTCCAGAGGGCAGTGGGGGCATGCCCGGTGGCCTGGGGGGGTAACCTGCACTCTCTGCCCTTTTTCCAGGTGTGGGTTGGGAGCAGCAGCGGCCTGCCGCCCCTGGAACCTCTTCCTAGCGACCTGCCATCATGGGACTTTGCCCAGCCTGCTTTGTGGAGGTCGTCCCAATCGGTTCCTGACACCGCCTTTGCCCTTTCGCTAAAAAAATCACTCCCCGCCCTTGAAAGCCTGGGCCCAGCACATTCCAGCAGCCCTCTCTTCTGTCCAGCCCCACCGGGATATCTGAGGCAGGGCTGGACTGCCTCCGAGGGTGGCCGGGCTTTTACCCAGTGGCCTGTAGGTTAGCTTGAGCCGTCCCCAAGAGAGCTTCCAAGTGCCCGTTGGTCTGCGATCTCTGCTCTGGGAAAGGCCCGGGGTGGTCCCTGCCTACCATTCCCAGTTCCTTTCTGGATGATGGGGGTCTTCCCCAGCTGAGGGCTTGCAAACGGGGATGCAAAGAGCTCCTGCCTAGGACCCCCACCCCCCACCCGTCAGGTTTCTGTCTGGGCTCTCCTGCCTTTCCCTGCTTTAGCACAGGATGTGGTGCCCTGGGCATCGGTACTTGCCTGGATGATGTTAGAGGTTGGTTCTTGGTGGGAACGGAGCCACTGGCTTACCGCTCCCTGGGCCTGGCCCCCACCCCTCCCCTACTTCCAGAGAAGACTCTGGTCCAATTCTAGTTAGGGTCACCCGTGTTGCCCTGATCCCTGCCCACTCGGAAGGGTCCTGCTTTAACTTCTGGCCAGTGAATTAGACTCTTGTGACTTGAGGTTTATTTTATTGCTTGGAATGAGACTAACCAGTAGCTTGGCGTGGGGCGGATCGAGCAGATGTCGACCCTCAGGTCCCACTGGTGCGTCCTTGTAGTCCCACGGGCTCCGCTGGAGAACAGGAGTGATGATAAAAACTTTCATTCTAACATTCGAGGCTTTGTGTGTTTTGTCCTTGGTCTGTGCCATAACCCTGACATCACCGTCCCTTGGTGCCTGAGCCCAGGGCCGCCCCACCTTCAGTGCACACTCACGGACCTGTGGGACACCCTCCTCCCTTCCCCCAGCCCCATAACCAGAACTTCACCCTGAGCTGAGGACAGGCTGCCTGACCTGTTCTCTGCGCTGGGCTGGCCAGCCAGGTGTGCCTGGGTTTGGGTAAACAGAAGCGGCATCGGTTTTGCCTGGTGCAGGGTCCTGGACGAATCAGAGACAGAAGGCTTGCTCAGAGTTGGTTCCTGGGGCCCCTGGCAGAGCCGGGCTTGGGTGTACCCCCCAGTCCCTCTGGTGGTACATGAATATTGGTACGGCAGGTGGAAGGGGGCTGGTTTTATACAGTCTGGTGTCTCAGCTGCGTGAATGGCCACCAGAAAGGGGCAGAATGCCTGAGACTGGGCAGAGACGGACCTCTGCTCGGGTGGTGCCTCCTTACCTTGCCAGGTGCAGCTGAGATATGCCCTAGGCGTGGCTGGGTTTCTGGGTTCAGTGGTGCGGGACCTGTTGGGGGCCCAGCATGAGATTTGAGGTTGGAGCAGTCCGGACCTCTCCCAGTGCTTCCAGCAGCCCCGCTTGTTGCCTCACTGTTGGTGGCATCTGAGCAGGGGGGACAGCTCACCCGAGGAGTGAGTTGGTTTGACACTCCCAAGAAGGGGGCCCCTTGTACCTTTCCAAGCTGCGGGAAAGTGCCTCAGGGTTGCCAGACTTCCACCACACCAAGAGCAGGGGGTGCACTTGTGACTAAACCTCTGCTCCAAACTTTTAGGTAGCCTGGGATGGGGAAAAAAAGACCAGGACGGGGAGGGAGCAGGTCGGGTGCAGTGATAGCCCCTCATACGCCACTGTCCTACACGCCCAACCACAGGGGGTTCTGTCTTTAGGCCTGGACTACTTCTCTCTCTCCCTGCCCCCAGCCTGGGCGTTCTGTCTTTCAACGGTCTCTCCCGGAGGCCGGGTGACTAGTCTCCTTCCTGTCCTGTGGGGCGTAAACTCTGGCAGCCTGGACCTGGACTCGTGCCTTCACAAGCCCCCCAGGAAGTCTTGGGGACTTCAGCCACAGAGCGCCAATTTTTGGCACCAAGGAGCCAACAGTCCTTTCAGCTTGGCTTGTGTGACACTGAAGATTTCTGTTTCGTTTTGTTTCTGTGTTTGCTTGGCGTTTCTTTTCCCTGCACAGATTTGCATTCTGAATGACGTCTGGTCAGGCAAACGTTGGCTTTCATTCCTTGCGAGATCATCGAGGGAGGGTGGTGCGGGGGTGAGGGTTGGGGAGCCAGACCTCCCACCAGAGGGATACGGTACTCGTGGGTCATAGATGTCTAGCCAGCCGGCATCTTCGGCCAGCTGTGTAGGACAGGCAGAACCTCTGGAGGGCTGGCCGCCCAGGTTGGTGAGGGTGATAAGACAGTTCTCACTCCCCCTGTAGTCAGATGCCACTTGCCCCCACTGTGGCCTGAGATGGGGCTCACAAGGCTCCTGATGCTGCACCCAGCTTGGATCAGACCCGGCATGCTAACGTGCTGCGGTTTCTCAGTACCACCTGCCAGGAGAGGCATGGGTGCTCCTGTTGGAATGACGAGGCTATAAGTACACAGGGCTCAAAGGTACCAGGTACCAGCAGTTTCAGTCCCCTGAAGCAATGTAAGTCTACAGATTCAGTAGACTGGTGAGCTCTCAGGCTGGTCTGCGTTCCTGCCACAAGGTCGCCTCACCGGGCCTCAGTTGGCACCTCTCTAAGCTGGGGACAATCCGAGTGCCCGAGGCAGCCAGCAGGGTTGGCGGAGTAGGAAGCCTACCACTTCCTCTGGTAGCCTGGTCCACGTGCTCTTGGCCAAGTGGCTCCCAACACTTCATTTTTCTCATTTCGAAAACAAAACACAAAGCGGGTGAAAACCAGGTTTTACCCCATTACAAACTGCTTTATTCAAATTTGTAACACTGACTTAACAGACTTTAGAAAGCACAAACAGATAGCTATTGGGGACTCCCAGAATAAGAATAGTGTCTTCTGCCCTGACATCCCCACTGCTCTGCCTGGTTCTCTCCCCTACTGGGCTCTGAGGAGACAGAATAGTAGTGGTGGCAGTGTTCAGACACTGAGCTCGGGGTCTCAGCCTCTGCTTCTAATACACAGTGCCATCCTGGCATGTCAGCCAGGTGGCGAGCTTTTCCTAGGCTGACGTTCTGTCTGTCAATCACTCCGAGGTGAATGGGACTTGCTCTTCAGCACAGCTTGAACGCAGCAAATGCACACACAGAAAAAGAAACGGGGTACAGCTTGTCAGTCACTTGGCCCCCTTCTCCTGAGGGCCTGTCTGACATTCAGTGCCTGGGTGCCTCGGCAAGTCCCGGCTGGGGAAGGGGAGTTGGGGGATTGGGTCTGGCCCTGAACGCTCCAGCCCCTGAGGCCTGGTGGTGAATGGGTGTGCACCCCACAGCCTCCTCAGGCCAAGCTCTCTCAGGCTCACACTCCCTACGTCCCTGGGGAGCGTCTCATGAGCCCCATGGCATGGCTGTTGCCTGCCTGGCCCAGCAGGAGTGGGCAGTCAACGCAGGGCAGCATTCGCGTTTGGTCAGCACCAGCCCTTCCCCACCTTAACGGCTCACAAAGGCCCTCCTGCTCTATGCTGATTCTCAAGTGAACAGAATCGATACTATCATTTTGTAGGCTGGTGGTTTTTTGATGTGGTTTTGGGTTTGTTTGTTTTTTTGAGAACAAACTCATGAGAATGTCATGAGTTCTCTGCCCCTTTCCATTCGTGGTTAGTCTCCCTGGCCAGGCTCACCAACCCTTTTGAGTAAACTGAATGAATTAAAATTTTTATCTAAAGCAAGGGGGTGGGGAGGGGGGAGTAGAGATCGAGAACAGGGAGACTGGTCTGTTTTTACATTAGCAAATGCACCTGTACAGTTGCTGACAGCCAACACTCCTAAAGCCAGGTCTTTGTGTTTGTGATGAAAACATGCCTCACTCTGGACTGAAGGAGGGATGTGCTCCAGCTGCCATGTCCCGACATGCTTTTGACAGTCATTGGGGACCAGTGTTTTCAATGCCGGGGTCTCATGAAGAGGCATCATGGGAAATACAGCGTAGCCACTTGGCATCCTGGGTAGGAAGCCTGGACCAGACTTTGAGATCCACTGCAAAGGGGGGAGCCATGTGATGCTCGTGGGAGCTTGTACTTCCCAGAGAGCAGGACCGGGGGGGAATCTCGCGGAAGGGCTGCTCTCACCCGTCCCATCTTCTGTCTGCCCTCAGACCTGCAATGCTTCTTTTGCCACCCGCGACCGCCTGCGTTCCCACCTGGCCTGTCATGAAGACAAGGTGCCCTGCCAGGTGTGTGGCAAGTACCTGCGGGCCGCGTACATGGCCGATCACCTGAAGAAGCACAGTGAGGGGCCCAGCAACTTCTGCAGCATCTGTAACCGAGGTAACCGCCCCACCAGCTCCTCCATTCCAGAAGACGGGCCTCGGCTTGCGTGGGGGACCCGTGGGGCGGGGGGGTCCTGCCCATCTTCCTCAGACTCTGCCCGGCTCTCCCTTCCCTCCGGGTGATAAACGCCTTTCCGGCCACCAACTTTCCACCTCCCTACAGCTCCCAGCCTAGCGGATTGCTAACCCTGCCTTCCGGAGAAAGTTGGGGCGCTTGGAATGAATGGGTGGGCTCCACAGAGCAGCAGGTGGGCACAGGAGGAGAGAGTACCAGTCCTAAGATTGAGCCCCTGAGACACCCACTGCTTGGGTGGCAGGGTGACTAGATAGTCACAGATATCTGTGAACGCCTGAGGTTAGGGGGTGGCAGGGATCATTAGGTCCCAGGAGGTGGGACAGAAGGAGTCCTGCCTGAGGGGTTTCCCTGGCAGACTCTCGCTATCAAGAGCTTAGCAAGAAGGGGAGAGACCCTTCTAGCACGGAAGGTCAGAAGGGAGCGCAGTCAGGTGGGCCTTGGCCTGGACGATGAGGAGATGCTGAGAGTCGGTCATCGTGTTGAGGACAAAGTTGGCCTCGCTGGCGTCTCATCCTTTGGCCCGGGCGTTCGTTCTGTGGGTCGAGGTCAGACCTGTGCCTGTGGTGCTGCTGGGTCTCCGTGGCCCTTAGGACTGGAGGCGTGTGTCCTGTGACGGTAGAGGTGGCGGCTGGCGCCATTTCTCCCCTGAAGGAGGTCGGGGCAGCTTCGGATGGTGCAAAGGGGCTTCTGCGTCGTGTGCTTGCCGCGTGGCCAGGTTGGGGATGCCGCCGTGAAGTCCTTCTCTGCCGAGATGCGCTGGTCCTGGTGCTTTTGACAATCGGGGCTGTGGCCACGTGAGTGAAGCAGGAGAGTCAGGAGTTGAAGGGGCTAGGGTTTGGTCTCGGCTCCGCTGTGTGCTCTAGCTGCCCTTCGGAAGCCTCCGTTTCTTCATGGCTCCAAGGGGGCTGGGGAGACTCGTTGCCCACCTGCCGGGTTGCTGTGGGGACCTGGGGAGATGGGGTATGTGGACATTCTCTGAACCCCTCGAGGCTGACTTTGAGGGGGCCGTACACTCGCTGACCCATGGTGACAGTTAGCAGGGGCACGTTGGCAAACAGTGCGGGGTCCTTGGGCTTGGGCTGGCTGCGCGTGCCGGAGACCCCCAGTAGAGAGAGCCTGCTGAGTCGGCGTGTGTCCTTGGTGCCCTGGATCTCTCTCCTCGACTGCGCCCCTGGAGTTTCTCTTGCAGACCGTTGGATAATGGGTCCCTGCCTCTCTACCACCAGAAAAACCGTTGTGAAATGGGAAGTGGCCATAAAAGAACTGTAGAACTGGCCGCGCTGCTCTTTGGGCCCTCAGTGGAACCCCGGCCTGGCAGGCCCCTCCCCCAGGTGGTGAGCAGTGGGGGGCTGTGTGTGCAGAAAGCAGTACCATGCTGAGAGAAGGGCCGACCGTTTTGAAAAAAGGTCACACTTCCTGTCTTACCTCATCCAACTCGGGCTTCCTGACAGGGCCCCCCAACAACTCAGAATCTGTTGCCACGTGCCAGCAATGCGCAGATGTTGCAGTAAAGTTTCCGATGTTGAAGTCCCTAGCCCAAGAGCCAAGTTCAAAGAACAGAGGCGGAGGACCAAAGGGAATGGAGGAGGCTGGTGATAGAACTCAGAGAGCCCAGTCCTGATGGCAGAGTGGAGGAGAACTGGCTGGGAGAGCCAAGACCATAGCCCCGGTGGGCCCCCAGCCCAGCAGGGAAGAACAATTGAGCCCAGAGATGTCGACCCAGTTAGGAGATGGGGCAAAGCCAGCAACGAGTATACCCCGGGCGTTTCCTTTCTGTGGTGGATAAAAAGGGCTTGGGCCCCAACCATGCCAGAACCCCTATGTCTCAGAAAAGCCAGCACTAGACCCAGGTCCTCAGGTGACATCTGTAGGCTCTGGACTCAGAGCAGGAAGTCCCATTCTTCCTAGAAGTCAAAAGAGGGCTCTGATTTGGCTCGTGAGGAAGAGAGAACAATTGTGATCTGTATCCGAAGAGAAGGAGCAGGATTTATTCTTCGGGCTGAAATAGGAAGACGAGATCCAAAAAGAAAAAGGACAGGCTTCCCCACAGGAGGACAAGGGTTTTCTGGACATCCAAGACAGCGAACACTGATGAGAACGCAGAGCCCGCTGGGATCACCTTTGATACTGCCCATCAGTGGGGCCACAGTGACCGTCGGCGCTGCATCAGCGAGCCCAGGAGTGTTCTTGCCTTCACGGGGCTAAGTGCCAGCTAGCTGGTCAGAGCACTTGAGGTTGGATCCTTCAACGGGCCCTTAGTCTGTCTTTGCCGCATAGACAACCTCTGTTCGTGAAGACCGGGCATGTGGGGAGGAGACTTGAGTGAGGAGGGAGTTGCTGGTAGAAGCCAGGGGACCTTGGCTCTGCCCTAGTTACAGAGTAGGACCTGGGAGCCACCGTGTGCAGAGGGAGATACTTAGACAACTGGGTTCCTTCCTTCTCGCGTTGAGGCCATCGGTTGGTTTTGAACCCATGGGAAGGAGAGAGGGCCCGCTAGAGCGCCACGATTTTCTTCCCCCCCTTTTCAGTTTCGGTAGAAGGATCGTTGGGCACCGGCCGTTGTCTTGGTGTGAGGACGAGGCGTAGTTCGTCGGCAGAGCCGACGTTCGGACTCAAGCACCATGGCTCTGCTTCAAAGGGAGCCTTCTCCGCGGTCGGGAGTACGTGCACAAGCAGGCACCATTGCCAACCCCAGCACAGGGCCAGCCTGCCATCCTGCTAGCCTGAGTGGCCGCGGACCGACTGGCCTCACTCCCATTGTGTCCAGCCCTGCCGGGGTTTGGGCCGTCTGATCCCTGCGCAGATGGCTCACCTGCCAAAGGAGGATTTGCTCCTGAAGGGCAAGTGGCAGGCATACCAGGCAAGAAAAAACCCCTGAGGAACATTGATAAGGGGACCAGACGTCCCGCTTTTGGCAGGACAGTCCCTATTTTTAACAGTTTTTCTCGCAGCCCGCGGCGTTTTAAGAAAGTCCCGATTTTTGGAAAGCATGCACGACAAGCTAGGGTAGATGGTTTTCGGCTGCCATGTGGCTGTTTCGCCAGGATATGAGTTTTATCAATGGTGTCCTGCTTTACCAATGTTAAAATCTGGTCACCTTAAACATTGAGGGTCTCTAGAAGGCGGCCAACCCAAGGGCCAGGGCTAGACTGCTCTCCCATGAGGCTTGCCTCTATAGGGAGGGACCGGAATCAACTCCAGGTGCCCTCAGAGGGTGGGCGAGTCCACCCCTTGAAGAATTCCCTCCTGGGAGCCAGAGGCTGCGGCATCTCTGCCACCCTGATCAGGCCCCGCTCCTCGCCTCGTGGCTCATCGGTGGCTCATCATGGGCGGGTGGGTACCGTGTGTGGCGAGAAAGATAGGTTCTGCTCCGCTTCTGTTCTAGCCTCATTCACACTTAGCTGCTAAGTCGCTCTGTGTTTAATGTCTGGGCTCCAAGTGGCAGCTGTGGATCCAGCCCTGACTCCTTCGCCGCCCCCACCCCGGGGTCCTGCTATAGATAGTACCGTCGACAGCAGGGGAGGGTTCAGGGACCCAGCCATGTGTTTCCCAAGCTGTGTTTCAGGAAGACACAGCAAATGTTTTTGTCGGGCATCTTCTGTGTCCTCCCTGGCCCGCTCCCTACAAGAAGTTCGCGCATGCATTCCTGTTGCCGCCACCGGGTCCCCTCTGATGACAGTGACCTGGGCCGGCCACGCTGTGGGGGAATCGTGCTTGAAAGGCACCGCACGGGATTACAAACAAAGGTGGGGGGGTCTTCGCAGGTGGCCTTATCAGAAACTCCTGATAGCTTGTGGTGGCTGCCAAGGGCCAGGACTTCTTGGTTCAGCTTGGCCTTGAGGGTCTCTCGAAGACCAACCCAAAGGCCAGGGCTAAGACTCTGTTCTCCCAGGAGGCTTGCCTCTGTTTGGCCTCTCTCTTTGGAATGTGAGTCTGGGACCCTTATCAGCCAGTCTGCCCCACGGCCGCGGACAGACCACTTAGATCACCGTGCAGAACAACCTGTAAAACCAGGCAGAGCCGAGGGCAGCCTGTGTCTGGTCTCGCGTGGTCTTCCACCTCCCTCCAGCTGCCAGCTGCTGCTGTCAGGCCAGCCCGTACCTCCCGGGGGCTTCCGGTCTTGCCTGCCCCTGTGGCAGAGACATGAATATCAAGGGGTTATAACAGTCCAGTTTCTGGGGCCCAGGGCCAAACCAGGAGCCATTAAAGAGTGTGCCCAGGGGTCAGGGCCAAGTTCTTCTGGCACACGGTCCCCCGTTGGAGTCCAGGCCCTGCTCTCGAGGAGCTATGTGAGGGACTAGAGTTGCCTCACTGCAACGGGCCTCCCATCTCCTCATCTGTACAATGGCGATGGAGATGGTTCCCCTTTACAGGATGGTCATGGGGGGTCTTGTGGACTAACATCTGCATTGGGCCAGCACCCAGCAGAGGCGAAATTTTAGTTAGTCTTGTCAGTTTGAGAAGAGCATGCCGATTTAGACTTCTGCAGCATGCAAGCAAGCCTCGGGCAGACACAGAACACTTTCCAGCCTCTGACCCTGGAGGGAGGGACCCGAGGTCCCCCTGCAGCCGCAGACACCCCAGAGGGAATGGCAGCACGGATATCCTGTGGGCGGATAGGGGGTGGCTAAAGGCACACCTCCGGGCACACTGGCACTCCGCGTGGGCCTTACGCTACAGAGCGTCATGTCTTGCTGGAGGACAAGTGGTCCTGGGCCACGGTGAAGTCTGACGGCACAGCTCCCTCCTGCGACACCCACGCCGAAATCCCGACCGTCCGGTTCCACGTCCTTAGACTTGCGACCTGAGATCCTCTCTTCTGTGCCCGAGCCATCTCAGGGTTGAAGCTCATGGGCACAGCTCTAAATAAAATCAAGGGAAAAGAAACCATCCCTGTTTCTTCTACTTCCTCGAGAGAAGCTGGTCGAAGCTCTATCCCCCCCAAGCTGAGAGATCCTCCCCCTCCCTTGAAGCAGAGGCCACGCTCCCTGAACTTGCCCCCCTCGTCCTCTTGCTGCTCTTCAGAGGCTCTGAGCAAGGCCATCTAGATCCCGTTACCCTGACAGCGGGATGTTCGCAGCATCCTAGACAACCTCCCCACAGGTAGAAGGAGGGGGGCTCCTTCAGGATGCCTCTTGGCCTGAACCCACCCGTCTAAGACAGAGTCTGCTGTGTGGCGCAGGTCCTGGGTTCAGTTGCCCGTAGGCATCCTGCTGGCTCAACTCCGTGGCGGCCCCGGAGCCCACATACTTGTCTGACCACACTCCCCCTGGGGTGCCTTGCAGCTGCCCAGGGCCCGTAGGACATCCACTCGAAGCACCTACTCCTCAGGCGTCAGGCGTTTGACCTCTGACCCTGAAAGGGGCAGGGTCTCGGGCCAGCCCAACCCCTCCCAACCCCTCCGGCCACAGCCTGGCAGAGTGGGCTCTCCAGAGAAACCGATCGATTCCTAGACAGTAGTCCCCCCCTCTTCCCGAGCACCTGGCTCCCAAGGGGGCCCCTTCTCGGGGCAGCTGAGCTGGGCGTGCCAGCCAGCGCGGCCAGCCAAGAGCGTGGGGGAAGCAGCGCGTGTGTGTGCTGGCCGCGGGATCTCATCTCCTTTTGTCTTGTTTAGGTTTCTCCTCTGCCTCCTACTTAAAGGCCCATGTTAAAACCCACCACGGTGTTCCCCTTCCCCAGGTCTCCAGGCACCAGGAGCCCATCCCGAATGGGGGAGCAGCGTTCCACTGCGCCAGGACCTATGGCAACAAAGGCAAGCGACCCCTTGCTCTGCACTTCGCTTCTCTGCGCAGGCTGTGTTGTGGGAGCGCTGGGCCGGGCGTGGGGAGGCGGGAAGGCTGCCTCCAGGAGGCCCAGCCATCGGAGTGGCAGTGCAAGTCGCTCCCACTCCCGGCCAGTGAGTGAGCCCTTTGGGCCCTGCTGAGACCCCGCCCCGCCCCGCCTCCTCTTCCCCAGCCTTCCTCCCCTGCTCGTGGTGGCCCCCTCCCCACCCCACCCCACCGACCGGGCCCAGGGCAGGAAGAGGGGCCCTGCATGATGAGTCGGTCCGTGCTCCTCGCCCATGGACTGGTCACCCGGTGAGGATGACGCGGCGGCAGCGGTGTGGCTTGGAAGCTGCCTCCTCCGGGGGGGCCAGCAGCTGGCTGGTGGCTGTGAGCAGCCCTTTTGTGGAGGGCATCTGGCTGCATTCGTGAGGTGCATGGGGGTCTCTGGTGTGCAGTTGGTTTGCAGGCAGCGCCCCCGGCCCCACCTTCCCTGGTTGACTCAGGTGGTTCTGTGTTGCTCCGTGTGGTTGTTGCTTCGAGGAGGAGGCCAGGGCCCAGCAGATGGTAGAGATGGCATGCTCCACGCTCCCATCACAGCCCCCCACTCCCTTCCTGGCATGGCACGTGGAACCCAGGCAGGAAGCTGTCGTCGATAGAGGACACCAGTCAGGCGGGCCGGGCCCAGGCGCCCAGCCGGTGCAGTTGTACCAAGGTGCTTTTCTGTGATGCGGCCCCCCTTGACCGTGGAAGTGGAAGGAAGGGTGTTTTGTCGGCAGGAAGGTGGTGAGGGCAGGGCTGGTGTTCGCAACAGGAGGAAAAAGGCTGGATTCTGACTGGACCGGAGGGGGTCCGCGGGCTGAGGCTCTCACGGCTCTGGCTTCGCCTTGTTGGAGTGCTCTGGGAACGAGACCCCCTCGTCAGCACACCCCCCAGGTCCCCCACCCAGGGAGAGTGAGCGCCCAGGCGTTGGGGGTCTTGAGTTCCGGGCAGCAGCCGTGTCAGCCCCCTTTGACGGGGAGCGCCACATGGCCCCTGCATGGAGAGTCACTCCGGGGAGCCTGGTGGCCCCAAGGCCCTGCTCTCTCCTCCCGTGGGTGCGCCAGGTGCCCAGGCTGATGGGCCGAGCCTCGCTGGGTTCCGCCTCGGCCACGACTGGCCATCGGCTGCCCTCCACAACCCTCCCCCCCACCCCAGGAGGGGGGTCTCCCCAAAGCCTGGCCTCACCTCTCTCTTGTGTCTCGTTTCTCTCGTAGAAGGCCAGAAATGCTCACATCAGGATCCGATTGAGAGCTCCGACTCCTACGGTGACCTCTCGGACGCCAGCGACCTGAAGACCCCAGAAAAGCAGAGCGCCAACGGCTCCTTCTCCTGCGACATGGCGGTCCCCAAAAACAAAATGGAATCCGACGGGGAGAAGAAGTACCCGTGCCCTGAGTGCGGCAGCTTCTTCCGGTCCAAGTCCTACTTGAACAAACACATCCAGAAGGTGCATGTCCGGGCCCTCGGGGGCCCCCTGGGGGACCTGGGCCCTGCCCTCGGCTCCCCCTTCTCTCCCCAGCAGAACATGTCTCTCCTTGAGTCCTTCGGGTTCCAGATCGTTCAGTCGGCCTTCGCGTCCTCCCTGGTAGACCCCGAGGTGGACCAGCAGCCCATGGGGCCCGAGGGGAAATGAGGAGAAGCGTGTCCCATGGAGACCACCGCCCTCCGGGGACTGCTGAGATAGGCTGTGAATTCGGAGGGAAGTGATATCTTTGGGTTCTGTAGCTGAGAGATTTTTGTTCGTTTTCTAAAAAGCCCCCCACGCCCAGCCCAGCCCTGTCCCCCAACTGCCCTCTCCAACCACCCAGCCCCACAGTGGTCTTTAGAAATAGATTCGCATAAATAACCTGTGAGCCTCAGGGTGGGACGAGGGCAAGAAACACTACGTAGGCCTCCGAGGCAACACCAATCCCGGCGTCCCTGTTGGCGGAAGCCGGAATTGTTGGTGCTTGATTCTTAGTGAACCCCCCCCCACCCAAAAAAAAATCCAAACCCCACCTCATGACATTCTGGGACCTCAATGATTCTTTGGGGGTTCCTTCCCCACTTCTCCAATCACTTAGCCCATTGCCCTGCCCATATCCCTCAAAAGAAACCATCGTAGGGTTTCCATCCACTTAGACAGCGCCAGTGCACATCTGTCGTTCCAGAAGCCAGAAGCCTGCAGCATCCCACGGACCACGGGGTAAAGGTCTGTCCCCCTGAGCTCAAGCCCTGGTCTGGAGGGCCCCAGACCCTCCTGAGCCCCGCTGGGAGGGCCAGCATATGTCACTGCAGGGGACAGGCTCCGCTATGGGGGACAGCCCCACCCCAAATTCCAGTTCTTACGTGATTCTAACCATTCAACGTTGCTGTCGGGTTTTAATTCTCTAATATTGTTATTATTTTTTAGGACCCGTTGTAGTGAATTGCTACTGAAAGCTATCCCAGGTGAAACCGAGCTCTTTGTAAACCGCAGTCACACGTTAGGGTTAGGATGACACTTTGTTTAGTTGTACCATAATTAACTTGGCTAGTTGATTGTTTTAAGTCTATGGAAGAAATAGTTTTATGCAAAATTTTAAACAATGCCAGTCTGGTCAGGGAGGTCTGGGTTCGGCTGCTCTCGGGAGCCGGGAAGGTGGGCGAGCCAGCCGATCGGGGACATTGTGTACCTGTGTGTGTTGTCACACTTGAGCAAGCCCAGCTCGACCTCAAGGCGTGGATTGATCTGATTAGACTGTATTAAAAGCGCTAGTATGTTACCCTGCCTGCTCTTGGAGTCTTTTTAAGTTTTTCGGCGGAGGGCGCCTTTGGGACCCAGAGGGTGGGCTGAGTCCCCTTCTCCGGGGTGGGGGAGGATCCCAGAGACCTCTCTTCCCAAGCAGAGGACAAGCCTCTCGGCACGAGAGGCTTCTGCTTTGTGCACCAGCCCCACCGGGACTGACAGATGGAGTTTCTCCTGCCAGGCGGCATCCCTTCGTTCAACAAGAACTCAATATTTATTGTCTTCTCTGCTGAGTGTCAGGCATGGTTCCAGGCCCTGGGGATAGAGCACAGCGGTGGAAAAGACGCCCTCACGGAGCTTGCTAGCCAAGACAGACAAGTCAACAGATTGAAGTATGACTTCAGATACCGAGAAGTGTAAGGTGAGGGAACCGCGAGGCAGTCCGCATGGCCAAAGGGCTCTGGGAAACTCAGCATCTTGAGTCTACCCTGCCGGCCCTGCGTTACCTCCTATGCAGGGCGACACATAAGAGCAGAAATGGGAAGAGAGGCCAGGGGTGCTCATGTTAGAGAGCTCCTGGGAGCAAGAGGCAGGAGCTTAGGCACCCTGGGCATCCGGAGGAATCTCAGGGGAGCGGGAAACCCCGCAGCGGCACTTCACCTTCCAGCCAGTAAAGAGGAATGGACTGAGAAACCGTTACCATGTTGTGGACTCTGACTCCCGGCCGCTATAGGGCAAAGTCGAGCTGCCCCACAGGGTGTCCACGGCCGCAGTCAATTCCTCCCGATCCGAGAGAGGTCCCCCTCCTGTTTTCTCAGGGGTGCGGCTTCCCCTGAGAAAGTTTTCGTTCTGAGGATGGGGATTGTTGAGTGCCACAAGGCCCACGACTCCAGCCGCTGAGTCTGGGAGCCCTGAGTCAAAAACAGAAAACACCACGACTCGCACCGCTGCCGTAGAAAGCGCAAGGCTGGTGGTGCATACATACTTGAGCGATACTGGGGTTTAATATAATTGTCAGGATGTGTCTTACAGGCCACGCACCCACTCCTCACTTAGCCATGTGTTGGTATTTGACGTTCACACTTAAACAAGGGTAGCGAAAAATCCGTCTAACACTTTTGCACCATCACGGAGGGCGGAGTCAGCCGTGGTAGGTAGCAATGAATGTGGAGTGGCCTCTCCCTTGAGGTGAGTCTCTCTGGGTGGCAACACCCACACCCTTCGGCAAAGGGGGCACCCCGCCCCCACTTGCTGCACTGGGTCAGCCTACTCCATCCCCCTGGCTTCAGGCAGACGCACAGGGAGCAGCATGCAGGGTGCTCAGCTCCTAGGTGGTCTGCGCTCCCAGGAGACAGTTGGGGGAAGACTTATGTGAGGGTTTACCGACGTCTCAAAGTGAACCCACGTGGGCCTGAAGCTTCTGCCTCCTGGGTGCACCAGAGCCTTGGTGACTCGCCAGGCCCAGAGGGCAGCCCTGAAGGCAGTGCCCAGGGAACCTCTGAGCCCAGCCCTGGAGAAATGGTTCAGCTTGGGGGCCTGGGGTCACCCCCAGCCACTGCTGTGGAATTGCATCTGATTCACACTAAACCTATCGGACAGGACACAAGTGCCCATTGGAGTTTCTGAGGCTATAGAGCTTCACAAGGAGTGGCTGGTGGGTAGCAGCCCAGTGAGTAACCCCCTAGGCCACCGGAGTGCCTTCCAGTCTGACGTTATCCGGCTTTGTCAGCCCCCAAGCCACCTCCATAGAAGACTAGTTGGGCTGGGCTCGGTTCACCCAGGAAGGCTCACATCAGGACCTATCAGCTGCTATTGTTCTGTGATCATTTCCCGAAACAGTGATCCCCCATCTCTGCTTGGCAGAGGTGAGGGAGATACCATGGCACCGCAGGCCCTGTTCTTCCACCAGAGACCAGCCTACCCAGCCTTAGAGCCATGGTACAGCTGAGAGCCCAGCGTGGGCGGGACATGGCAGCTGGCAGGTCTGAGCTGTGGCCAGAAGCAGGAGCTCCTGTTGGAGCCGTTTGTGAACGGTTCTCCGACCTTGGCTTTCATTCATGGGAAGTGGGCGGCGTGGCAGGACTCACTTGGTCAGGCCCGGAGCCAGGCTCCCTGCGGGTGTGAGTTTCAGCCCCTCCCCTGCCCATGTTGGTGCCTACTCTCAGCCCTTCTCCCTTGGCAGCCTTGGGGGACCATCCCCTGAAAATCTCGGCGGCAGCCTGCGTCCCTTGGGTTCCTAGGCTCCAAGCCCAAGCTGTCTACTTGGTATTCCCCAAAGTGCCAGCTCCCCTGGGTGCTCGTAGCTCTTTATGTGAGAGGCTTTTCTTTCTGCCAACCTTCCTTTGCATCCTGTTCCTGGCCACGTCACCCTACTACCAAACACTTGACACACGTTAACTCAGCTTGTCCCAGTGAGTAGACGCCCTTCTGACAAACACCCCCTCCCCTAGTACAGCTGGTGGCAGTTGCTGTGAAGACCTGGAGCTCGTGTCTTGGCTGTCACCCTGCACTGCGGACCACCACGGCTTGTCTGGTCTGGCCAGTGGGCCCCCCCTGTGCCCCGCTGGGCATCCAGTTGGTTCCCAGCCCCCCCGGCTGTGCTCCCCCAGCACTGTGCATTTGGGTTGTAGCTCTCTGCGTGGCCTTCCTGAAGTGCGCTCCCCTCCCTGGCCTTCCTGTAGGATGGTGGCCTCATTGGCTCAGACCAGCTGGGAGACAGCCAGCTTGGGGCTGGTCACGGCACCACACTTTCTAGGGGGGTGACCGTGGGCAGGTGGGTGTTCACAGGAAACTCCCCAGGCTCCCTTCAGCTCACCCCTTCCCTCCTGACTTTCCCCGGGAGAATGAGCGTGAGCAGGGGTCAGCAACCTGTGGGGCCGGCCAGAGGGTAAGTCTGTGTGGCTTTCTGAGTCCTCTGTTCTCTGTCACCTGTGTTCAACTTGGCCTCATAGGGCAAGAGCAACCAGCTAGAGGGGGCCACCAAGTACAGGCAGGGCCAGGGGAGGATAAAGCTTCATTTCACAGGTAAAGACCTCTATGAGCCCTCAGGGTGTACAAAACTGATGGCAAGGGGGGGTTCAGCCTGTAGGCCAGCTTGTAGACCACTGTCAGGCTAGCTCCTGCTGCTCACCCCAACACACGCACATGTGCGCGTGCACACGTCACACACACCCCACAAACACACATAACATATAGACACATCACAGATACCACATAGACACACTATACATACATCCCACAAGCACACACACCTTATAAAAACACCACACATACACACCACCACCATCTCACACACACCATATATACACACCACAGATACCACATAGGCACACTATACATACACCCTACAAGTACACACACCTTATAAAAACACCACACATACCATATACACACCATACATACATACCACCAACATCTCACACACACCATATATACACACCACAGATACCACATAGACACACTATACATACACCCTACAAGTACACACACACCTTATAAAAACACCACACATACCACATACACACCATACATACATACCACCAACATCTCACACACACCATATATACACACCACAGATACCGTATACACACACCATACATACATACCCCAAACACCACACATGCACCATACATACATATTCCAAACACATACACCATACATACACAACACAAACACATCACACACACTCTATACTATACACATACTACACACACCATCCGCATACCACAAACACACATGCCACACCTACCAGACACACTGTACATACACACACCACACATACCACACATATACCATATATATAGACAACACCCCCCCACACATATATCACTCATAAACTATACATACACACCACCATATACACGTACATATAACCCACACACCGGTATCTGGTCTTGGACTGCACCCAGGCTCAGGTTCCAGCCCCACACAGGCTCCTGGTTCATGTGCGTTAAATTGTCTACCACCTGAGCTTGTGAGCACAAAGCCATGTCTCTCAGCCAAGGTCATTCTAAGGCGGCTCCGGAGCCCACCGTAGGAGGGTCCTCTGCGCTCAGGGCCAGTACGCCTGCCCAATACGCCTTCTCCCTTATTTCCTGGTCATTTTGTTTTCATGCCTAAGGAGCCCTGGTGGCGCAGTGGTTACACGATGGACTGCAATCCATAGGTCAGCAGTTTGAATCCAGCAGCCGCTCCATGGGGGAAAGACAGGGCTTTCTTCTGGGGGACTGCTAAACCAACATATAACACGTACGCGTACACACACGTGTACACGCTCTTCCCCATGGGTTTATGAGACTTCCAATCTTTCCAAGAACAGCAAGTGGGTTCAAACTGCTGACCTTGGGGCTGGCGACTCGGTGCTTAACCCACTCCGCCACCAGGGCTCTTTAAGGTGCTAGTGAGGGGTGAATTCAGGACTGCACTGTGGGTGCCCTTCCAAGGTGCAAACCTCACAGTCACACCCTCTCCCACAAGGAGGCGGATGGGTGTCAAGGCGAATGCCCTGCCCTTTCCTGAGTGCGCCCCCCCCCTCTTCCACAGCTAATGCTGCCCTCTGCTGGACGCTGGGGTGGGCGAGACAGGGCCAAGTGACCGATTACTCTCTGGGTCTGTATCTTTTGCTAAATTGCTGTGAAAGAAAAGGCCCAATATTTATCTCAGAGACGAATCTGCCCCAACTAGTTTCCTCAGGGACAGGGCAGCCTGGGGTTAGGGGATGCTGAATAAAACTTGTACCTCTGTGAGTGGGCGCACTGGGGAAAGCACCCCTTTCCCTGCGTGGAAGAGTCTGTTGCCCTCTGTAAGGCTGTGCCCCGTCCGCCTGGCAGCCAGTTGGGCAGAGGTCCTAGCCTGGGGTGGTGGGCGCTGGAGGGGGCAGTCCCTCAGGGACACCCTCTTTGGAGCCAGAACTGTGTCTTGGGCTGTTGAGTGTTTGGGGGTCTGTGCCAAGGAGCACAAATCCCTGGTGCAACAGGGCTCCTGTTTAATTTTTCAAAAGCTGTTCTTTGGCTGATGTCCAGCTCTCCATCCATATAG